ACTCCTAACTTGCCAATATCTCAACAATACACCTTTGAAGAATAATCTTTCTCTTTATGTAATCAGTTCATCCTCAATATGTTTCCTCTTCATTTTAGAATTTTTGCATTTAATTAAAGATTTCTGTTATTCTAAAAAATCTTCATGTATTTAGAATGCATAGATAAACTGTTAATTTTATTTCTTTAGTAATATGAACACTGACAATGAATATGAGATAATATATAGTCACAGGTAGTACCAGAGCTAGTGTAGCAGAATTTTTAGAATTTAGTGAAGCACTGAGTAACAAAATCTAGGGATTACAAAAATTTTATAATTTAGGGTAGGCATTGGGCAGAAGAATTTAAGGGTGGGAAAAATTTTAGAATTTAGAGAGGCACTAGGCAGCAGAATTTAAAACCCAAAATTGCAGATGGAAAAATGCATAGCACCAGCTCTCTGTATGCATAAAAAAAAAATTTTGGGGGAAAAAATAACTTTATACATAATTAGCCCCTAACACAATGTTATTGCATGGGGGGGGGAGATAAACCTTTAAGGTAATTCATGACATGATGGAATACTGCTTGTCCCACCATGCATCTAGAGCAATAAAATGGCATCTTTGCCTGAGTGTAAATTCTCCTAACAGGCTTACAAAGTGCAAGCTTTAGCAACAAAATGAAAATGCAAGATATAAAAAAGTTTTTGAATAATTATCTAGAAAATATTGATCCTATTCGCAATATATATATATATATTTTTAAAATTATATAATTTTAAAAAAAAAATTGCTCCCTGTACGACTTTTTAGATATTTTTTAACGATTTCATAATATATTTGGAACAGAAAAAGATCGCTCCAGTACTTATTTGCTACAGCATATTTGGAAGGCCGTCATGTTTATTTACATTTCACTTATTTTTCTATGGTGAAGCACACTCGCATATCCATTCAGTATTCAATGACATTTCATGTTACAGGGTTTTATTTTTATTCTTTCAGAAAATACTAAATCTTTTTCAAGTTTTAACATTACTGCAATTTACTAAAAATATAAATTTGCATTGTCTATATATGAAATGACCATGATACTTGAATTAAAAAAAAATTGAACAGTGCTGCCAACGTATTTGTCCCATCTTTTAATTTCAACATTATGTAAGGTATAAGAAAATATGATAGCTGCTTTAAAAATAATTGGCGACCTTAAAATTAACGATTCTAGATTTGGTGCTCTCACGAATTTGAGATCTTTCCACGTTATATAACGCTACTGAAAAGGGCAACTAAAACTAAAACTAACCAATCATAGCTTTTCTCTAGAATCACACCTATTCTGGTATAAATGCCTCTAGCGAGCTTAATTATGTCATTATTTTGCGAGCTTCTATATTGCTAATATCTCCCCGCTTCGCTTCTTTAAAAATGGCTGTGTCATTTCCTTGTTGAAAACCAATGTACAGAGAAATTTATCATATTTAATTATGATTGAATAAGTGTCTGCCCAAGTAACTGGAGATGTGTGAAAATAAAGACTGGCGATTTGTCAAAATTCAGTTTTGTTGTCTTTATCTGTATGCCTTAACCACAGCCATGACGGATATCAAATGCTGTTAAGAGTTCCAGGCTTTGACTGTGCATTCCAAATCATTACATATATGAATTCCAATAATAATTTTTATTAGAAAACAAAACTTTCAAAAATTCATTCTAATACTAAAAGTTGTTCAGACCATTTAAATTGCATAAGAAATTAAGAGGAAAAAAATTCTTCAAAATTAGTGCTGCCATCTGTTTACATATTTAGAAAACTAAAAGGTGTAATTTTTTGTATTTTAAATGGAATTTTGCAGCTTTCGTCTTGGAAATACAAACTGATAAAAAAAAAAGGTGGGACGCCTGGTATCTCACTGCCCGTCAAAGGGTTAAACTGTCATTTTTTAGTTTCTTTATAAACAGAAAAATTCCTTTCTGTAGATGCTTGTCCATATGGCAAGATTAGAAGCATTTTTAATATTTTCCATGCTTGTGTCTGATGAAAAGGAGAGAAAATAAAGGGAAGATAAACGTATTAAAAAGTAGACTTTTATGATCCGAAGAAAAAAATTCAAATAATTATGCCTTCATGGTTCTTTCAAAATTTCGTCAAGTTAGAAATTTATCACAAATTTCCTATACAATACATCCATTACATGTTAATAGCTTGAAGACATTTTTCTTTCTTTTTTTTTTTTTTTTTTTTTTTTTTTTTTTTTTTGTGATATTTTTCTGCAATCATCTGAAATCACAGGTCTATAAATCTTGCCTTCAAATCCTTCTAAAACCTCTGAGGTTGCAATGTTAAAATATGAAAGAAAAATTATCCCTACCAATTCTGTAATAGCAAAATGCTAGATATTTTCTGAAAAAACAAATTCAGAGAAGAAAAATGTAAAATGAATTTTATAAAGAAAACTGACACAGATTATGAGATAGTTACATGGGGAAAAACTCTTACCTTGAAAAAAAATATAAAAGAAGACATTTTAAAACAACTACAACAGCTACATGGTTTTTTTCTAAGAAGTTCTATGGAAATTGTGCTATACAGCATTTATTATCTTATTTATTTTCCAGATTCAAAAACATTCGAATAACAAGTCGTCCAAACAGAAAGTAATGTCACTTTATAATATTTTATTTTAATGTTATTTCTTAAATATAATTTTAATATACTATTCTTATTTTAATGAAAATTTATCAATATTATAATGCTTTAAAAAAAATCTTTCAAAAACTCACAAATCTCCAAATTGAATCTTATTGTCTCCATATTAAATTGATCTTAAAATCACCAAAATGTTGATAATTTACCAAATTTAGAGCCAGTTACTAAAAGAATTCGCATCCCACCAGCAGCCGAGTGGTAAAATGATCAACACTGGTAATTCAGTCTGGAGTTTGAATCCCAGCAAACGGACTAACTACATGGGTGTTTACGAGGTATTCCGTATGTTTAACGTGTATACAACCAAGTTTCCCTTAGAAAGTCCTCCACTGAGGCTTTCCTTCCCTCAGGCAGATAACCCTTGTGTGCTTTTCCAAAATTAAATAAACCAAACACACACACACACACACACACACACACAAAAGATATCACATCCCCAAAAGTTTATAAGGTATTTCGCCCATCTTCCTAGCGTGCCTTCGTGGTCAGCACACTGAGCCGGTATTTCAGAGGTCTGTGGTTCAATTCCCAGCAAAGGCGGTTGCTCATTTTTCATTTCCTTTGCTTCCAAAAATACCTAATGTCTCTACAGTGGCGCCCGAACTAAAAAGGGTGTTGGATGATGATTCTCCTCACCCAGGATTTGTCGATTGGGTTCCCTAAAAACCTCTATTCGCCCTTTAAACAGGGGAGGATATAAGGTATTTCTCCCGCCTTCCTAGGAGGCCTTCGTGATGTAAGTGGTTCTGCATGCTAAGCCGGTATTCCAGATGTCCCTGGTTCGATTCCCGGTGAAGGCTATTGCTCATTTTTCATCCTGCCTGCTTCTAAAAATATACCTAATGTCTCTACAAGTTGAATAAGTTGATAAGTTGTGTATAAGCTGTTCATTAGCAAAAAAGAAATAATTTGAAAATGCTTATGTTTCACTTCTTGCCCAGAAACTCAAGCACCACACCTTTATGGTTTGGTTTGGTTTATTTAATTATGGCAAAGCACAGTAGGGCTATGTGCCTATGGGAAGAAATGCCTCCGTGGAGGACTTTCTAAGGGAAACTGACTCGTATGCACGTTACACATGGGGAAAACCATGAAAACGCCCATGCAGCCAGCCCGTTCGCAGGATTCGAACCTCGGACCGAACTACCAGTATTCAGCGACTTTACAGCTCGGCTGCTGGTGGGCACCACACCCTTTATATTTCAGTAGGAACAACTTCAAATGATTCATTCAAATAAGCCATTAAGTTTGTCAGTGAACTGAAAAGAAATATTCCTTCAAAATGCTAATTCACACAGATGGCAGTCATGAAAAACAGACAAAAATTTCAGATGATTAAAATTAAGGACTTTTAAGAACCAATAATCATTTTCATAAAGCCTAAGGACTTCATGACGAAAGACGAACCCTGTTCTTCGCTTTCATCTTTCTGGCAGGCACTCACTCATAGTTTTCATACACTAATTCCCTGTATCACATTTTTTGGATGCTACTGCATGAATCTTTTTTATTGCGAATAAAATTTACAAAATTCTAAAAGTGTTGCTAATGTGTAGACTAACAGTCTAAAAGCTGTAAACTAACAGTGTGAAAGTGTGTTCTAAGAGTGAAAAAGCATAATATTGAATTTAGGTACCACTAGCCCCCATTACAATGATAACTGCTAAAATTGCTATGGCTCTGTGATGATAAAGTGGTACTTATTACATGAAATAAACTTTCAGTATAAGAAAATCAAATGCATGGAAGATAATATGGACTAACTTGGATATGAACAATGTTTAAAGACAGAAAAATATCTTCTTCTTCTTTTTTTTTTTTTTTAGTTAAAGGCTAAATTTTAGATAAAACAAAGCCACTGCATTTATATATATTTTCTATTTCTAATCATGTTGAATTTCAAGGTATATTTATTATGCTTTAAATTTGCAAATACTGGATGTCTTTAGTTTGATATATACAACGTAAAAGTTGTTAGCTCATGCAATAAAATTTAAGCGTTATTTTAATGTTTACTCATTCTTAACTGACTTCTCAAATAGACAAGCTTGCCTATATTCTAAAAAAGCCATACATATAACAATTACCAATGAATACACAATTTTAAAAGTTAATGAAACCATTCAGAAGCCATGCTAGATGTTTAAAACTTGTAAACAGAAAATATCTAGAAAATATATAAACCACACATAATAATGTTATAACTATATAATCTCTTAACACCTTCAATATTATAATATTATTGACAGTATTTCAATGAAAAATGAAAAGTGATAAGAAAACTCACTAGAATAAAATTATATTTACCTGATTCTTTTCCAGTTCCCACCTGATTTCCAACAGATGCCATAATATTTCTCGAAGTCAAAGCTTTCAGAGCTAAATAATCATAGCCACCATATGTAAGTCTATATCCCTCAACTATATTAAAGAAAAAAATTAAAATTTGTTTCATTAACCTTTTTTATAGTATTAAAATAATTGTTTTTTCACAATGTGAGAAACATACATTTCATTATTTAGTTTCTTTAAATAGAACACAGGGCAATAATATTTGGTAGCAATAATTTGAAAAGTGTTTCAGACATTTACTGGGCTGATGCCCATTTGGGCCCCCCCCCCAAAAAAAGAGCATTACATTACAAAATTGAATCTGCATTATCATAAAAACAATGTAGTTAAATAGATTTCCATGTCTTTGCAAGCAGTAACTTATTTTGCAATGTTGAATTAATATACAATGGCAAGACTATTCAAGACTTTTTGAAATTTTTTAGCATAAAATCTGTGTGGAGCATCGCAAGATCTGCTGTGTGGATCATACAAGAGAGTAGAGAATTTGCTGCAATCCTGCTGAACTTTAATATCAATTACATGCAAAAATTTCTTTAGGTTGAAAGGAATGTGTTACACAGTAATATACTACAAACAGCTTCAAGGTAAAGTAAGATTTTGGTAATGGTGTATTCTCAGCATGGTTAGCAAGTTTCTTGTATGATGAATTAAATTGTTTGGAAGGAATCAATTTTTTTAGTTATTTATTTCATATTATTACATTTATATTTTATTTATGCAAAATAATATATATTATTAAACAATTTAAATACTTTCATTATATACATATTTAGCTTTGTTTTATATGTCTGCAAAAGTCTCTTTCAGTAATATTTACATGCATATACATTTTCGTAATTGCTATGAGATTTACTTTCATATCTGAGTTTTGATGGATTTTAAACTGAATATTAGTTCATAATAGCAATAAAAAATTGGAAATATAGATAACTTATTCAGAAAAAAAAAGAAAATTAATTTCAATTAATTATTAAAAACTGAATATATATTACAGTACAAAGCCCGTAATGCGAACTCATCGGGACTTCGGCAATTCCAGATTAGAGGTTTTTCCAGATTATAGATCATCAATTTAAATCTGGTAAGATGGCATGCAAAAATTATACAATTAAAAATATGAAACCGTAATTTATGAAATAAAGAGCAATTATGATCTAACAGGGTATCAAAATTAAAAAAAAAAAAAAAAAAAAAAAACTTAATATTTATTTGTTTACTTTATTAAACATTTCTTTCAATGTAAGTTGTTTCGTTTTTTGTGCTAATACTTTATCTTCAATTCTATAAACAGACATAATTTCTTGTTTAGTTACAAAGTTCCACTTTTCAAGTCCTGTAATTGCTGTGTCAAGAATACCAACTAACTTGTCAATCGAAATTTTTTCATTTTCACTAACCTCTCTGTCACTTTCATCACTATCGGAAGCGGTATTTTCTGGATCTAGAACCATACTACAGATTTCACTATCCGTTAATTGATTGATGATTGGGGCATTGTCGTCACAATGAAAAACATCTGTTATGTCATCTTCATTTATTACCGCTTCTCCACATTTCTTTACAAAATCCAATAACTGTAAAATTTCACCTTTAGTTTGTGATGTCCAAAAACCTTCAACTTCGCAGCTATCACCTTCATCAGCATGAAATATGGTAGCTGGCCATAAATTATGCCAAGCATTTTTTAATGTATCTCGAGATACATCCTCCCACGATCTTGCGATGCTCCACACAGCAGATTTTATGATAAAAAATTTCAAAAAGTCTTGAATACTCTTGCCATTGTTCAAGAAATTTAACATAGATTTTAAAAATGCTGCTTTATATTTGCATTTCAGCGTTTGCACTATTCCCATATCCATAGCCTGAATGATAGACATACAATTTGGAGAGAAGAATAATATGGATATACAGTCAAAGTCTTTAATGTAAATATAGTAATCTTTTCCAAGGAATAAAAATTAAGTTTTCCGTCGGAACACTCGCGTTTTTGTAAATGTTTAGAATTTACATTTGTAAAACAACCGCATTGTCCTTCGGTTTTACTTGAAGTGTTAACTTTCGGTTTGACTGGAGAAATTATCGTTCTGTTTATTGGACCTCTCAATTTTATTTCGCCTGTTCGGGCTATCCTTAGCCAAATGTAAACTGCTACTACACATATAACATTCTCGCAGTCGCCTTTTCGGGCAATCCTTAGCCAAATGTAAACTGCTACTACGCACGTAACATTCTTGCGGTTTGAACGAATGTTTTGTTTATTTACCACTGAATCTTTTCTTAGTGCTGGTGAAATATATTTAGTTTTGTTGCATGAATCACGAAAATTAGTGCGTTTTTCACCATCTTATGGTCATCAAAAGATTTACCTTTTGCGATATGAAATAAGATGATAAATAATTCCTTCGCTAGTTCTTCTGGACGTAGCCAACTTACACCTTGTCGAACTGCAACATGGCACGCTAATCACTATTCAGAGTTTGAAAAATTTTGTCAGAAATTATGAAGTTAATTAAAGACTCAAAATCATTGACGTATCTACTTTTACAATAATGGATCCAACGTGATCTTAAACGAGAGGTGAACTGCAAATGAGTTTCTCCAGTCAACCTTTGAGCTTGGCGAAACTTTTCTAAACATATAATTGGCGATGGTTCATATTCATTAAGGATTAAAGATTTAATTTTTTCATAATCTTTCAAATCATCATCTTTAATATATACTAGAATATTAGAAGATTTATCACCTATCAGTTTAAGTAAAATTTCAGGCTTAAACTCATTTGGTACATTCTTATGCTTAAAAGCCCTTTCTATTGAATCGAAAAATAAGTTCCACGCTTCACCCTTTTTAGGTACAGAAATTTATAATGCCTGTACAGCCTTCAAAAGCTTATCTAATGAAAGTGTATTTTCTACATTGTTACCAGATTCGTTGCTACTTTCAATTTGCCTCAAACGCAGTTTCACAATTTCTTCTGACTTTTTCCTTTCTTCAACCGTAGTATTAAGGAATTCAATAACAAAATCTTTATCTTTCAAATATTCTTTAGCTTATCTTTAATAAAAGCTTATCTTTTAATTCTACAACTTTTAAACTAGAATCGGCTTCTTCATCGAGTTCCTTCAACATCGAAATCAAATCACTTTTAACTACTCCCTTAAACATATTGAGAAGAAATTTTCCTTAAAATTACAACAAATATTTCTCACCTTTTCTCAAAATCCAGTCACCCTCGTTCGCTCTGGTTCTCGAAAGAGAGTGTGTTGTAATGACCTTACGGATGAATAAGGCACCATAAGGAAAACGAAACAAACATTTATTAAAAATTAACGTTCAAAGAGTAATGGTAAAAAAAATAATGTTCAAAGAATAATGGTAAACTCGGAGCACTACCTCGCTCCTACAACATAGTTAATCTACCACCTGCCTCCTCTGAGGCTAACATGCAACTGTCGTCTCTCTCACTTGCTGGGCTCTGCCAGGCAGCTGATTGGCTCACTGCAGCCAGATACATGACATGAAGTATGCGCCGAACAATTGTCAACAATCAAGACTATTTTTGAGTCATCAGGTAAACCAACCGAATTCAAATTTCGTATCGGGTATAAAATGATTTTCAAACAAATCATTCATCAATGCTTGTGTAATCCATGCACTTTTATTTGCGCGATATATAACGGGGAAAATCGTTACTCCTTTAAATGCTCGAGGTCGTGCATGTTTTCTGATTACGAAAAGTTTGCATTTGTGCGTTCCTGCAGCATTTGCGCAAACTTTGACACCAGTTCTGTAGAGGTTGCCAAGGTATTTCGCAGTACATATTACCAGAAAAGACCAGTTTCATCAGTGTTGTAAATTTGTTCTGGAGATAATTATTCACTAGTAATGAGTTCAATAAATTCATCTGCAAATTGTTCAGCAGCTTCATTATCAACTGAAGCCTTTTTCACCTGAAATTTTTAATTGTCTTATACCATGGCGATTTTTAAATTTGGTTAACCAACCTGTCGAATATGTGCACTCAGTGTTTAAGTTCATTTTTTCACGAAATATTTCAGCTTGAGCCATTAGCATTGGACACATCATTGGCACGCCCTCGCTGCGATGCTGTCATCACTTTGTCATGATCATCACTTTTAGCATAACGAACCCTTTTTCTGTTATTCATTGCAAATAGGATAACAGAAACTACAAAAAATTCAAAAAGTTCCTTTTCTTTTTGCTTATGTCATATACAGTTGACATTCCAATATCATACTACTCGCATAATTTTGAGACGGATATGCCTTTATCAATTTTTTTGCAGCAATTCCACTTTTTGTTTGATGGACATCGAAACATGCTTTTGCTTTGTAGATCCTTTGGCAGCTCCAGAATTGGAAACTCTTTTTGACATAATCGAAAGTTCAAGCTTAATTTTTATAAAATTGCTCTAACAGTCTGCAAAATATAATAAGCCAGATCCAATTACAATATTAAGGAACAGCTCAATCTGCAACATTAACTGAAATGCCTTAGAATCGGCAAAAATAATTTTAGCCTAGCTTATACCATCCATTACCCATTAAACGCACATGCATACTTGCCAACCTATGACACTCAAAAATCAGGAGATTCTTTTAAGAAATCAGGAGATTTTTCACAATGTTAAAAAGACTTTTTGAATGATAAAAATATTGTTTTTAATAATGATTTAACTCAGGGCTGTTTGTGGGATCCCAAAAAATCCCCTGAAACTTTTACGGACTTACTACCAACATTTTGGAGTTTCGAGAAGGGGGGGGGAGAGAAATGAAAAATTACAATTATGAAGTATTGAATGACCTAATTATAAAAGTTCAATGAATTACTTTTTTTGCAAAATTAATAACCATAAATTTTCAAACATATAAACTACTACATTTTATGTAAATATTTTAAATTACCTGAATTAATTCTTTAAAAAAAATTATTTAATTTCTGCTGCTTTTTTTTATTTTCTGATGTTTGTGGGCTTGTCTTTTTTTGTGGTTGAACTTCATAATTGCAGGAAGGTTGACTTTTATTTTCCTCATTTACAGTTG